CAGCACGGGGGAGCCGTGGGGACAACTTCGGAGGTGACTCGATGGCGGGAGGTCTGCTGCTGAGAGGCCACCTCCACCCAGTACAGCACCTTCCTTTCCAATGAGAAGTCGTGCTGTGGAAGAGCGAGAGGCAGCTGGTGAGGACATGTGAAACCAGACCAGGTGGCATGGAGCAAATCATGCACTCCACAAGGCGTCTTAAGGGCTGCAGTCTTCCCATATCAGCTCCTATTTCCCTGAGCATTAGGGCTGGCTGTAGGATTGGGCAGTGCCAGCCTCATCTCTGTAGGGAATCCCCAAATTTATACTTGAAAAAATTCTTAGCTATGAAGTCATTACTATTGTAAGTTGCACCTACAATTCTTAGGAAAAGTATTTTATGCTTGGAGGTGTTTGTGTCACTTTGACTGTGGAAGGCAGGAGTGTGCAGACATCCCAATTTTAGGCAGCTGCAGAGAGGCACTGCATCCAGCCACAGACTGCACCCAGAATGGTGGCAGAGTTTGTTTGTGACCCTCATTAGCAGCACTTGGCAGAGCCACTTCAGGGGCTCAGAAGCCACCAAGAGGGGAGATGCCACCTCGGGCAGAAGCAGAACCAGCCATGGGATTATCTAGTGGCGCCAGGGTCTCGGCTGGTCCCCAAACAGAGTTGTCATTTCCACATAGTTCAGCTTAAAATATAAGTGTGTTTGTGACTGAAATCTGAGGGTTTTCCTGGAACAAACAAGCCTTGCCTGTCCCAGAGCTCTCCAAACAAGGTCTCCTCCTGACAGGCAGGCAAGTACATTCACAGCCCAGGAATGCTGTTTTTACTGTTCTTGCCACTTGGGTCAGCTGTGGACCCAAATCAGCCTCCCCAAGGAAAACACCCTCACGTCCCTCCATAAGGATCAGCCTGGACCAGCAGCTCAATGGCTTAGCCTCAGAGGGGAGCATCAAATCATTGCTAAATGGAGAAACACAGCATGTGTGTATATATATATATATGTATATAAATGTAAACACTATCTATATATCTATATGCTTCCAGCACAGGTAGTATTGCCTGCTTATAGCTGGTAGATTTATTGGTAAATATTTAATAAATATTATTAATAAATGAGACACTGCTAACTCCAAAGTAGAAAACAACCCCAGAGCAGAGCCATTGTCCTCCTATCCCAGAAAAACCTAACCTTCCTTCCTGGAAAAGATTTTTAGAAAGCAACTCCAAACCAACCCCATGATCACTGCCACACACCACAAATCATCCTCAGCTCCTCCCAGTATTGCTGCAAACCAGCCAGCAAAGAGATCACTTAGGAGGTTTCCCTTCCTTCTTTCATGAGAACAGTGCTGATTTCCTTTCAGCATCCCCCAGCAGTGACCAGGTGTGGACTCACCATGGTGCTCATGAGGATGTCAGTGCAGTCAGGGAGCTCAATGTCTGGGGCAGTGACTAAAGGGATTTCTCCCTCTGAGTCCCCACTGAGGCTCATGGCTGTCCGGAAGGGAACTTCATCCAGGTAGTTCATTGCTGCTGTCTGATTTCTTGCTGCTGGAGGAAGGGAAACAGAAACTGTAAGAACATCTCTTAAGCTGGCTGGAAGGAGAAAAAGATGAGCTGTTTCAAGTGCCAGTTGGGTAAAAACAGATTGGCAAAATCTTAATTACTGACACCAGGAAGCTTTGTCTGAACTAACCTTTGCTATTCTCAGCTTGAGCCAGAAGGACTTGACCAAGCTTATGGCTTCCTTTGGCAGAGATCCTGACCATTTTTCTCCTCCATGCTTGCCCTGCTGCTTCCCATCCCTCCTGTCTCTCCCTCTCCCTCTGGTGCCATTGCACACTCCCTTCCCCAAGCTGGGGATGGACTGAGCACTTTTCCCACTTACAGAGGGAGAAAGCACAGCCAAGGAGGACACCTTGCAGGTCTCCCCTGTCTGCACAACCTGTGGTGACAGAGCTCATGCACCTGGCCTCGTGCTGCTAAGCCATCACACAGAGCATCCTGAGGGAGCTGGGGTGAAGGCATTCCTTTGGACACTGCAGCAGCTTACTGGGAACCAGGCAGGCAGACTGTGCATCAGGCAAGCTTGGGAATTAGGAGGACGTCAAACAAGTAGTTTTTAAGACTAGCTTTTAGGAACCATGCATTCATTTCAAGTGTGGTGATGGTTTTAGATCAGAAATTGCAGGGGAGAGAAAAATTGCTGGTGAATTGGGAATGTTGTCAGGAAAATATTACTTCAAGTGTCTCCATCAGGTCTCTATAAATGTCTCAATTTACTAAAAAGCCATTACTTGCTACATGAAGCCTCGAGCTTTCAGCTTCCCAGCAATGACAATGTGTAAAATCACTTCTTTTATAGATTATAAACTGTTAGGAGCTGGTAGCCAGTCTTCCACTGAGTTCTGGTACTGGCAGCATGTTCCTGCTCATCCCAAAGTCCCCAGCACTCATCCTCATATTTCCCCAGCTTCATCCACAGAAAATACGTATGTGACATCCCTAAGTGCTTTTCCCAGTTTTTTTTTTTCCTTTAAAAACAAACAGCTTCTATGACAACAAGGATAAACATTCCACTAAAAGGAAATATGCAGAAGAATATACACAAGGATGACAAAACTGCCTGTTTAAAGCAAAAATAAGAATCTATAATGGGAGATGGGGTTCAGGGCAGTTTCCTGTGTTGGCAAAAGACTCACAAAGAGCTTCCAGGCCAGAGAAAGTGACACACACACAATCAACATGCACAATCACTCGGGCAACTCAGCCAGTCATACCAGAATGACAACAGGAGTGTCACTTTGCCTGCTTACACCAGGAGCCTTTAATACCCCTGCACAAGCAGAGCCCCTAACGAGCTTTGTGCTCCTGCACATGTCCTGCCACTAACATGCAACACAGGCAATGTGTTGGGATCCCACGTGGAGCCAGGCCGCCTGCTCAGCTTAAGAGGGCTCAGCCTAAGGGACAGCCCACGTCAGCACTGACAAAGGTGACGCCTGAAAACATCTGTAAGCAAAGCCACCTTCCCTCAGCTTTCTGCTACTCCCTGAGCAGCTCCTGCATGCAGGGGGGACTGACCTTCCCTGCAGCTTGGGCTGTAAACTGGCTCTTCCCAAAATCCCAGTGTGCTGAGGAAATCAATGTCTCAGCATCTGTCATCCAGAGTGGCCCCACTCAGGTGCAAATGATACTTTAAGGGATGGTGATGAGTAGTGAGTGTGTCTGAAGCCACAATGAAGAAAATACGAGAAGATGATGGTATTGTACCTCTCTGTATTTCACTGCATAAATACTGTGCTTTAAGAGAGGCTCTCACAAGTGTTAATTCCCAAAACCACAGTTTAGAAAACAAGAAGTACTTTGGGGCAGGAGCAACCACAACAAAAATGCTACTAGAAAAGGATAAAAGAGGGTCAGTCATAAACATCAACTCCCACCAGAAGGAAACTCCTACAAGGGCTCTGACCCCCTGTTCTCCACAGGAGCCCTGCCCACTTTCACACTGAAGACACTGCCGGTGCACAAACCAGTTCATACCAGGAAAAGGATGTGCTTAAACAGCAGGAGAAACCCAGACTGCACCAGGACCAGGGCAGGAGGAATAGGATACAAATGAAGCTTGGAAACTCATGGCCAACCTCTCTCTTCTGGGCTACACTGTTTGTAAAACTTAAAAACAGTGGGAAATATTATACTCAGAAAAATGGGAATCAAGTCTGAACACACACTTTTTAAATTAATACCCTGTGTCCATGTATTTTATGAGTTCAGATTTTAAACATTCCTCCCCATCTGTGGCTTCAACAACTTCCTCACTAAAGCTATTAAACATTTTAATGTAGATGTCATTAGGCAGGAGCAAATACACAGAACATACCTAAAGGTGGATCCTCCCCTGGCATTTTCAATCCCTATGTTCATTAGCAATATGAAGCTGTCCTTACCATCAGATGAACTCATGGAGCTCTCTCCTCGCAGGGCAGGGAGAACAGGGCTGCTGCTTTGCTGCCTCCTTATCTACTGCTCAGCTCTGTAAATTCCTGCAGTGTCAGACAAGCAGCTGACTTGGACAGCTTTAAGATAATCGTAGCTTAAGCAGTTGGCCTGTTCCATCAGACATGCTGATGGGATAAGGAGACTAATTGTTTAAGCAGAGCATCCTCTGGTCACTAAGCTGCCTGAACTGAAAGTGTTGGGTTTGTATTGGTTTTATGCAGTTGTTTTTATTTTTATATTTGATCTTGTGTGTTTTCATCAGGGAAGACTCCCCAGGATCTGACTCAGCCTTGGGTCTGGAGTAATGAGATACCAGAAGTGACATGAGGGATGGGAGGATGTAGGGAGGAGCAAATCAGAACACCACCTGCAGGGAACTTCATGGCAATCTGTATTTTGGAGTGCTACAGGTGAGCAAGAACTGCAAACTTCTGCACTCATGTTCTATCAGGAACTACCAGTTCGTGTCTCTTACTGACACAAACCAGTGCAAAGGTTCAGCCAGGACACTACTAACATTACACCTAAGGCCCAAGTACTGAATTTAGGCAATGACACGCGTGGATTACGCACGGTTGTGACGCCAAGAGGCAAAGCACCAGAGAGATTAACTCGATTGCCACACACAGGGGCTAAGCAAGAATAAGGACTGCAGCTCTGGAAAGGTGCCACAGCAATCTGTGCAGAACAGCAAAGCTCCAATCCATCACAGTTACAAGCAAACTGTCCAGAACATGGAAAGCTTTGACATCAGATGTCACCTCTGTCACCTTGCAGGAGGGAGAAGTTCCTTCACACAAACCTTTTCCCAACAATTTTTTCCTTGTTGGAGTTGTATTTGATGCAAAGTACTCAAACAAATCTCTTCCCTAGCATGAAAATGCTTTAAACAAAAATCCATTTTTCTCTATTTGTTCTGTACAAAAAAACCAACTTACAAAATAAAGCTGTGGTTTTTAATCAAATATTATAGACATATACAAAAATATCTATAGTCATAACACTTACAGTAGGTTAGACCGCAGATTTTATTGGTTTTTTTTTCCAGCAGGCTTATTCATCAAATTTGTATTTATTCACATGGCTGTCTGACCTATTTCACCACAACTGGGAATTTTTTCGGTGTTTTGGTATCAGCTTTAGTCCACAAAAGTAAAATGTCAACAGCTGCTTTAATCAAACTTGAAAAACCCTGTCTTATTTGTACTTCAGAATTCGTTTAAACTTGTAATAGGTTTGTCTCTACACCCAGAAATACAGGAACTATTTAGACAGTGATGCTTGACATGCTTCATTTAAGAAAAAAAACATGTTTACTAATGATCTCTTTTTTTCTTTAAATTTCTTCATTTCTGAAGCTTCCATCATCCTTTATAAAGATAAAAGCCACTAAAAATATGATGTTAATACTGGCACAAATACCACCATCAGCAATGTTCCTTTATTAAGACTGAGATTTAACAAGAACTCGCAGCTGGATTGTAATTCCACACCACGAGAGGCCTGGCAGCTCTGGGCTTGCTCAGCTATCTCCTGCACAGTCAATCAGCAAAAACAACTCTTAAACTTTTTTTCAAGACCTTGCAGTAAAGACTTTCCAGTACCTGGCTGCCGAAAGAGAGGACGAGACCTCCTCTTTGGACCCTCTCATATTTACACGTAGTTATAATGAGGCAATCCTCCAACGCTGAAATTATTTATTGCCAAATTATCTGACAGCAGTGGCCCAAGTGTCATTGGTGGGGAGACTCGGGAGAACCCATCCTGGAGGGATGCAGCTTCCTTCGGGGTGGTCAGCTGGCACCAAGTACTGATCCCATTCATGCCTTTAACAGAGAGAGTGTTGTTAGAGAGGAAAGCTGGGATTAATTTGGTGGTAAGACTTATTATACACCCAGATAGATGTTACTGATTGATACAAAACCCACAATACTTGTACTCTTAAACCTGTTTTTTCAAAAGACAAATGTGGAAATTCAATGTTCTGGTGCTAAATGGAATGGTTATGCATGGAAGAGCACTCTGCTTCACATGGGCATCTGTTGGATATGACTCAAGCAAGAAACTTGAAAAAAACAGAACAATCCATTGCATAACCATATTTGGAAGCTGACAAACCAAAAGGGGTACTGAATTTACAACTGCAAAAAAACCAGTGTTTGCCATCTCTGATGATAAAATACTTTCTCTGGTTTTACCTGATCTGGATTAGAGCTGCTACAGAATGTTCAGCTTGTAAGTAGTAGTCTCTGAAAGGCTGCAGTAGATGGGCAAGTGGGAATTCAGCTGTGAAAACACAGACAACACAGAGAAATGGTTTAATAATCCAGAAAAACCTTCCATTCTATGAGTCTCAGAAGCCCATAATTTGCAAAATCATTTGCTACTGCCCAGCTGTAATCTGACATCAGGTCCCGAGGTAACATATGAAACACTGTTTATATGTTCCACATTTCCCGGTCCGTACCACAGCTGTCAGAGGAAAGCCAAGGCTAGCAGAACTTCCTGACTCCATCATCTAAAAGAGGGGAACATATGGACACTGAATCTTTACAGATTACCTGAGTCACACTTACCAAAGCACCAGACTAAAGCATCTATGGTTCTGGAAGTCTTCAACCTATTCTATTTATTCTCACTTCACTAGTTTCATCTACCTCTTCTTGCAGAACAACATGAAACCAGCTTGAGATGTCTGCAGTCCACGCTGAAGAGATCAACAGCTCCTTACACCACAGGTGTTAACAGCACTATGTTTATCCCCCATTCTCAGACCACAAATTACTACAGAGGATGACTCCTTTCTCAGCTAGAAACTCTCCTTTCTCTCAACTAGATCTGTGCCTGCATTTCAAATCCAGCATCTGTGAGATGGGGATGTGATGTGGAAAAATACTGTTAAGAACAGGAGGCAGAATTTACCTGGATCCCCAAACAGCTTAGAATCCATTTCCAGCTTCTGCTGCAGTAGTTTTTCCCTTTCCTTCTTCTGTTTCTTTTCCATGTCCCTCTTCCTTTCCTCCTCCTGTTCTCCCTCCAGCATAACCCTTAATGCTCTTTCCTCAGCTTCATACAGTTCTGTGCGAGTTTTGAGCAACGCTTTGAGACTCTCCACCTGATTTTCAAATGCTTCATCTGCTGAAGGAGGTGGACAAACACCTGAACAGAAAGAGAAGTGATTTTAAGTTTGCAGATTCAGAAGGGGGTTTGGTACCAGACTTGAGAGCAGAGCTGGCAAAACCTCAAGAGGAACATGAGCTTAACCTTGTTAACAGATGGAATTCTTACTGGAATAATCCTTCTTCTAGAAAGAGGTTGGAAACATGAACAGAACCATTGAATTCAGCACTTTGTACCTATTCTTGTAATTAAAATCACAATGAAGACACAGCTTTTTGAAGCTGCTGCCTTGCTAGTCAGCACAGGGCACCCTCATCTTATTTCCTGTGTGTGCAATTAGAACAGTTTAGACCAATCTGGTAATGAACCTTTCCTGGCAGCAGCTTCTTTCCTCAGTTTCCGAAGCTTTTCCAACCCGCGCAGGACGTCCGTCATCCTCTTTGTATCTGCTTGTTTCTTGCGGACTTCGGACAGGACACTGTCTGCAGCAGCCTTCAGCTCTTGTTCCTAGCAAAGGAAGGAAAAAACCAGATGAGATGTGTGAAATATCCCTCAAAGACACAAATCAAATGGTATTCTCAGAGATTAGCAAAGCACTGGAGAGCAGAGTGACTTCTCAGTAACAGCAACAAGTCAAGCCAACCATCCAGCCTTGCCTTCTTATGAAAAAAAGGCTAAAACACCACGGACTTCAGAAAAAAAAACATGCTGTGGGACTCATAAATCCTGGTCAAAACACAGAATCATGGAATTAAGGTTGGACAAGATCATCAAGTCCATCTGTCAACCCAGCACCACCACCATGTTCACTACTAAACCATGTCCTCAACTGCCACATCCACACATTTTTGAACACTTCCTAGATGATTTATGAATTATGAAAGCCTGAGAATCTTTAACCACAGAAATTTAGGGTAAATCTTTTACAATTAAGAGAAACCATCCCGATTCCATTTGTGCAATTAAGACCACAAACCCTTCCTCAGCAGCTGCTCTGGACCATCCCACAGAAACCATCCCGATTCCATAGTTCTGCAATCAAGACCACAAACCCTTCCTCAGCAGCTGCTCTGGACCATCCCAGCAGCAGACCAGCACTAAGGGAGCTCTTTAGCCAAAACAAACAGAAAGGTGACTACAGCACTCCCCAACCAGTCTAATTTGAGGTGTATTTTTTACTTTGGAGATGTTTTACCTCCACATAAGATGAAAAAGCTTGTAACCCACAAACTTCTGACCACCACAGGGTAGCTGTGGACAAGCTGACACTTGGGACCAGAGAGCAAAACCTCCAGGAGTTCAGAAACAACTTAAACCCCAATTTCATGTCAAGGCCTATCATATGAGTATGGCAAAACCGAGATGCCCAATAAGACTTCTAAGCAAGAAGCAGGGCTGCAGGCCTTGGAAACAGCACGTCTCTCAGTATGCTGAAGTCATGCAGCACCTCAGCAGCACCCACTGAAGCAAGGGGGTCAAAGCCACGCGTGTGAAAGGCACAGCCTGCCGTGACCCCACTACCGGCAGGTCACCCCTACCCCACCGCACTGTCCTGGAGCCCCGGGGACAGGCAGGACCAGGCACTGGGGACCATACCCGGTTCTTTTCTTCCACCTCCTGGATGCACTTAGCCCGCCACTGGTCGATCTTGGCCTCCCGCTCGGCGGCCCGGGCCGCCTCCTCCTCCTTGGCCGCCCTGGCTTCGTGCTTCCTCCGCTGCAGGCGCAGCCTCCTCTTCCTCGCCCTCTCGGCCTTCCTGCGCAGCGCCTCGCCGTACCCGGGCTCCCGCAGGGGCCTCACGACCTCCCGCAGCTCCCGCAGCGCCGCCTCCGCCTCCTCCCGCGCCCGGGCCCAGCCCGGCTCGTCGCCCTGGTCCTCGCTGCGCCGCAGGGCCCGGCAGAGCGCTGTCACCCGGGCCACCCGCCCCAGCGCCGCCACCGCCACGGCCCGGGCGCTGCTGGGGCGGGAGGCGGGCGGGGAACGGCGGCGGCTGCGCCATGCTCCCGCCGCAGCCCTCAGCGCGCCGCCATGACACCGCCTCAGCGCCCGCCCCAGCACAGCGCCACGGCGCCTCCTGGCGGCCCGGAGGACCCGCCCCGCCCGCCTCCCGCTCCACTTAAAAATTCAATTTCAAAAACTGCTCCTAAAAGTTAAAATATGCGGGGGTGGCGTCAGGGATGACAACTCGCCGCTGCTTGAATATTCGCTTTTATTCAAACGCCAGAGGTGAAGTACAAACTGTAGTTACACGGCATTTTTATTTCCTTAAAAACAGTTCTTGGTTACAGAATTCCAAACAACTTTCAAAACTAAGTTGTTGAACAGTTTCACCTAAAATGTGGTGGTTTTTTCTATCTGTTTAAAAAAGGATTTGAATTAAAGGATTCAGAATTAAAAGCTGTTATGTTTTTTTCACTCTACAAAAAGGAAAGTGAGGATGCAGTTACAGATAGTTCACCACAAATTCCCATTTTGAGGGGACCAAGCTTCTAGAAATATCCTCAACTCCAAATGCAGCTTTTTCTGAACCATTAGTGGGTCATTTAACCTGAAAAGAATCTGTAATCCCACGGGAAGTATCTGTTGCACCTGGCTACAACTGCATGTCACACTGCTGCTAGGGAAGAACACAAGAATTACACAGAATTTACATGACAAAAATTAATGACAAAAATAGGGTCAATAGATTTTCGGTATCCTTTCCTGTCCTAAAACATCCACTAGACTAAAAAGAAGGATGAAAATTTTATTTAAATAGTGTGAATTAAAGTTTTAGGAAAACTCAAGTCCATGTTTTCACCGAAGAACAAAACAAAGTTTTAAGTGACAATTTTAATTCCTGAAACAAATCGAAAACATACAGGTCCTTTAGTGTTTCACAAAGACTTTGCTAAAGGATTGAATTAATTTTGGTGGAGAACAGAAGAGGGAAGATTGCTTGCTGTGAGACTAAAATCAAAGACAAACCCACAAGATGCAATACTAGCATTTGAGAATATAACTTAAAAAGCATTGTCATGTGAACAATCACTACTGATTACAGCAAAAATATTATACATTTACTTCTTCCATCTCTTAACATTATAAGATAGGTTGGGCAAATACCTGGCACCAAAAAATTGATGCATGATAGTTCCAATACGTTAAACAAAATGTACTATATTAGAACATTCATATTTAAAAATTTATGGCGACTTCTCATCCAAATTTAGATGGTTTTACTGCTTCCTAGCAATCTTGTTTACCCCTCTGGAAAATCAGACTTCACCTTCTTTCACAGTATCCAAGGTGATTAAAGCTCCCAGTGGAGACGTGAAGGGTATTATTGATATTCAAATGACTGTAACAAACTAGTGTCACATTTTAGCAGAATCTCCCAGCAGTGTCACAAACGTGTCCCCCACCAATGTAACAAGCCACTCCAGTGCCCGCTGGGTGTCACACACCAGCAGGACTCTAACACTGACCTGAACATAACCCCCTGTGAGCCGTACCAGGAGCTAAGATAGTTTACTCACCCTCTACTAAAAATTAATTTTGATTTCCCACTTGTAGAGTAACATTATTGTTAAATCTAACTATTGGCAGCACCTGCGCTGCTGGTTTAGTTTCTGCAAGGGCAGTGCAGGTGCTGCTGCATTTGCTATACATTTTAATTGAACAAGTGTAATATACAATTCATATTTGAACATTATGCCACCCCAGTACACACTCTGTCCATCAAATCAAGGTGATGCTGCAGTAAAATACACGATCTGATTTAGCTAATGAAGTTTCTCATCAGGAGTCGTATCCGAGGCAGATCTGGTGCCTTTGGGGTCAGGCTGGAGGCAAGGAAAGAACCGAGTGAGCTTTTTGCAGGTGACAGTTCTGACAGTGTTTAATGGTTTGCAGCATCTGCCTGCCGAGGCCAGCCTTCCTCCTCCACTCCAGAGTCGTACTCCTCTTCTGATGAGTCCTTGGTGGGAGCCCTAGGATTGGAAGGAATGATCAGACACCTTAGAGGGAAAAAACAAGAGACACTTTCCATAGCTTCTGACAAACACATCACATGCACAGAGCCCCGTGGCAAAAGTCCTGACCTTCTGCTCTGGAAATGCTGCTGTGCACATCTGCAGTGCCACCAGCACACAGGCTCATTAGCTGAATTCAATTAGCCTTCTGACTTTCAGTAAGTTGTTTGATTTAATCAATAAATTCAGTGTTTCTGGTGCTACACAAAATCACTTCAAGCAACCATCAGTGTAATACTTTTCACTCCCTCCAACAACACAAGGCTGAGCCAAGCTTCAGCACAGACAAGGTGCTGGAATGAGACTCCCTCCAACAACACCAAGGCTGAGCCAAGCTTCAGCACAGACAAGGTGCTGGAATGAGTAAATGTACCTTAGTGGATACAGCCACTCAAACAACATTGTCAGTGACAGAAACCAAGACACAGCTCCTAAATTTCAGACCTAAAATTCAGAAATTAATTTTTAAACCTGACCCATTCTCTCTTAATTCCATCCTTCATTCATGGAAATGGTTGGATTTTTTTTTTAATGTAGATTTGTCCAGTGCTTTCAACATTCCACATCATTACCATACTCTTTACAACATTAAATTGATTATTTTAACAAGAGTTCAGCAAATCAATAGCTCTGCCTTTGTGGCTCTCCACTGCTGCAAGAGTAATGTAGAAAATTTTTGCAGCCTGGAGCTTGTAGAAAAAACCCCACATCTGTGGTAAAAAGTAGGAAGAGAAAGAAACAATTTCATTTCAGAAATTTCAGTACAATCACAACTGAATTTCAAAGTTTTACTGTTACCTCAAAATTTACTTCCATTTCTACAGGTATACACAAAAGTAACTTCACATATGTTTATTTTAAAATTTCTGTTTGAAAACTAAAGCAATACAAATCCAAAGTCTCTAGGACAGAACAGGCACTAATTCAGCTGTGTACAAGATACAGAGCATTGCATCTTTTTTAGGTTGTGTGCATGATTTGTGCTTATTCCATCAGAATACCTGTCTAGTTGTATTACTGGTCTGTTCTGCTACTTCTGTTACCGTTTTACCTAATGTATCCTGGCTCTTTTTTGCCTTCTACAACATCTTTGTCAACTTCCACACATACGATGTCAGAATTGGGCACTTCAAACATGGGCTCCAACAGCAGCTTTTCCTACAAGAAAATAGAGGGGAAAATATTTCTGTATGCCCTCTTCTACATAAACAAGTGATTTTCAGAGAGTCTTCTTGGAAGAACTCTGAATACTCACAGCTTTAGAAAAACTTACTGTATCCATGTGAGGGCCAGAACTAAGTGTGGCTTTCACTGGAAATGGTCAAGATTAGGTCCATACACACAAATCCAGGAAGCTTCATTTGCTGTTTGTAAGACTTAATTTACTCACCATTATAGATCGAAGACCTCTGGCACCAGTTTTTCTGTCCAGGGCCAGTCTGGCTATAGCCTTCAACGCATCTTCAGTTACATTTAATTCACACTACACAGAGAAAAATGGCAAGTTCAGTTAATCATTTCATTTATAACTCAATGTGGTGAGTACAAGCACTACTGAAACCCCTGTATTTCTAAAAATGAACACCAAAGAGCCATCAAATGAAAACTCAAACCTTATCCATGCTGAAGAGCGCCTGGTACTGAGGAACCACAGCGTTCCGCGGCTCCGTCAGAATCCGGACGAGGGTTTTCTCATCCAGGCTGTGCAGAGGAACCACAACAGGCAAACGTCCCACAAACTCAGGGATCATGCCAAACTCGATGAGATCCCTGGCTTCCACGTGGCGCAGGAGGCGATCCTTCTCCTCAATATCCTCCTGTGGGTCAGACTCTCCACTGATATTGGCAAGATCAGCTGCTGCTGCAGCCCTTCTGCCTTTCCCCATGTTAGATGGTGTCCCAAATCCTAGGTACTGCAAAAACAAACGTGTTCTGCTTAGAGAACTGTAATAACTGAGTTTTCTTGATGTAAATAAATCACTTTCCATGAGTATTAAAAAATCTGCAGTGACTGATTAGGTCATTGTGTACTAATTTGAGCTCAAAAAACTATTCAGAGTAAAATTAGACCCCTTGCATACAATCAGTTTCTTAAAAGACTGACTCTCCTCAGTGAAGGATTAGTACATCAGTGCAAGAGCAATTTTTTCTTAAAAGAAAGGAGGTTATCAACATGTTCTGGTCATTTTACAAGTACCAGTGACACTTCATAAGTGAAGCAAATTCAGGCAAGTTTGCTTACATGGGAAGCTACACAAATTAGCGTGAACAATAATTGAATTTCACTCCTTTAGTGTTAGACAGGGAGCACATTTTGTCAGAATGCTGCAGCCAGAACCCTGTCCCCAGACATTAATCTACAAAACAGTGAACTGCAGGACCAGGTATTTTAAGATGATGATGGTTTTTAGCACCACTTGCTGAAATAAAGAAATTAAGTGTGTTTACAAATACAGCAAGACCTGTAGAAGTCAGTATCGCAAACAGTGATCAAGATGATGATTTTTCAGCCTGGATACAGCCTGATGCACTCACTTTTTCATTTTTCCTCCTGCTGATAATTCTGTCAAGACCATTAAAAGCACCAGAAGCTACAAACAGAATGTTTGTTGTGTCAACCTGCACCGTTTCTCCACGTAGTTTCCGAGAATTCTTTTCTGGAACATTTACTATTGTGCCTTCAAGTAATTTTAACAAGCCCTAAGAAGGAAAGAAGAAACAAGCAATAAAAATTTCCATTCTGTAGCATCATATAAAGGGGCACACCATGATATGTTCACTTTAACAAATACACTCCTATTTTTTGCTCCCTTTTGCCTTTATAGTAACAGTAAGTGTCCAAAAAAGTCAGTTTTCCCTATTAGACAATCCCAAGCAAGGACAAAAATGTTCCTTTAATGTGGGTCCCATGCACATTATGCATATAATGATGAGCTGCTTTAAGAGTTTTGTTTAAATGGGAATTGTTACCTGTCCTTGCCTACATTATGAACTGGTTGTCTGAATGCTGCAAAGACATTTTTGAACTAAAATGTTTCCATCAGGATGTCTCAAATTGGTTTTGAGATTACGTTTTTTAACAAAGTCAAGAGGAAAGATGTGTGTTTTGAAGGTGAATAATGAAGGAACTGAAGAACCATGACTCCATACATTCCCATGCTGTTTGACATGACAGGATCCTATGTCCTGCTCACTCAGGAAGTAAAATTACTCCATGGAAATATTTACCTGTTGAACACCTTCTCCCCCAACGTCCCGTAACTGATGGATACCAGGAACACTGCCAATCTTATCTACTTCATCCAGGAAAACAATTCCTGCAGTTACAGAAAATGGGTTTAAAGGAGACCCTACTTTTAAAGAGAAGCAAGTATTTACAGAGAATAATAAGATTTCTGTTCTACTTCCCAACTGCAAAAATGTGTCATTTTGGCCAATTGTGAACAAAACCAAAAAAAATACATGTTGAGCTCTTTTCAGGTTCATTCTATCTGGTTTAAACTTTGGGTACATGCAGCAGGACAGTAATTTCAGGAATACTGTTAGTCTCAAAAGCTTAGAGCACTTCAACAAAATGAACAGTCTCTGTAACACACGTGAGAAGTTTACCTTGCTGTGCTTTTTCTATGTTGTAGTTGGCATCTTGCAGGAGTTTAGCGATGACAGATTCAATGTCTTCTCCAACATAGCCAGCTTGAGTCAAGGTGGTGCAATCACAGATGGCAAAAGGAACATCTAGGCATTTAGCCAGAGTCTGAGCCAGCAAGGTTTTACCTGGTAAAATAAAAGCTGCATGGTAGAACTGACACACATTTCTCTTAGAGCACACAAATCCAAGCATTTGGACAGGGATTTCTAACAAGGGTGTGTAGTGACAGGACAAGGGGGAATGGCTTTAACTGAAAGAGGGTGGGTTTAAATGAGATATTGGGAAGAAATCCTTGTCTGTGAGGGTGGGGAGGCCCTGGCACAGGGTGCCCAGAGAAGCTGTGGCTGCCCCATCCCTGGAAGTGTCCAAGGCCAGGCTGGATGGGGCTTAGAGCAACTTTGGATAGTGGA